GAATATACAAGTGTAATAAAAGCAGTTATTTATTGACCAAGGCACCATGAAGATGTCTGCGATTTAATGAGGCTAATGTGTTCACCATTCTTTTAGTATTGTGCCTCCATTTCATGACTGAATTCCTCCCAGGGCCTCCCACTTCATCCCGCTCTTGCTGGCCAGCAGTCCTCATTTTGTTCACACTGTGCCTGGCATTGCTGATGGCGCTGGTGACCATGGCAGTTTTACGTAAGTACTAGTGCATTTCTGTTTGCTGGGGGGCTCAAGCTACTGAATAACATCAGACTGACATCTCCTTCAGGTGCAATTTCTGGTTCAGCTGAGAACAGGCAACGAGGCAAACCAGATATTTTCACTTGCTGCAACATCTTTGTCCTCTTCTCGGTGTGATGAGGCTAGAAATGAGCAACATGGAAGGAAGCTGGAAAGGGGTGGAGTAGGATGTTCACTGCTTGCTGTGAAAATGTCTTATCGTGAATTTCAGTTTTCCAGATTCCCAAGGACTACAGGACACAACTTAGAGACCTCAACATGACAAAGAATGAGCTGCATGCAAATTTCTCAAATACGCTGCAAGCAATAGGAAATCAGTTGTGCTTGGAAGGCGAAAAAAACCTTAAAAATAATGGTAAATCAACAAGTTTTGATGAGGGTTTATCTTTCAGTGTGGCAGGGAAGGAAATGAGATGTGTCTTCTGTGTCTACTCAGGTCTGTCTCCACAGGTGAGCCTGGGTCTTCTCAGATGTGACCACCTAGAAAGTAGGCAATGATCATGTCTGCCTCATGCAGTGCCTGGAGAGAGGCGCCCAGCGTGGCCATATACGTGCATTGGTGTGGCACCTGGCAGTGGTACCAGGGCTTCAGGATTTAGTTTCCGTAAGAAAAGGGTCCTGTGGGATACCTACTGGACATGCCAGTTGCCATCAGCTCGAGTTCAGGGATCTCAACAACATGCTCATCTGCATCTAATAGACAATTTTACAGTGGTGCCTGAGAATTAAACAACTTACTGCACTCTATGTGAACAGTAGTCCACACACAAGACAGTGTGCTAGTACTGACCCCAGGTAAGACAGGAATATCCTAAAGTCAGAAGTGATGTGCGGTGAAGGATAGCTAAACCAACCTGGGAGTTCACTGCCTGTCTCCTGACTGTGTCCAGTGTAGGGCTGTTTCTGAATTCAGTTTGCAACAGCTTGGTTATTTAAGTAGCATCTGACAATGAGCCAGCCAGGGAATTAATTCTCTTCAGAAAGAGAATTCTCTTTATACTCTGAGGAGTAGGGGCATCAGGCAAAGGGATCCTATTGTGACTGTCGGGAAAGGGGATTTCATTTGTCCAGATATCGTTTCACAGACAAGCTAACTGTCTAGGTCTCCCTTTTAGTCAATGAAGAGAAATTGGAGAAATTGGTAGTGCAATGATACAGTCTGTTTCCTCCCAAGAAAGACACCTGAAATGAAAGAAAAAGCATGCGTGAGACACACCTACTTCTGTCCATTGACTAAAATCCAGATGACTCATGTCACCTTTGTAGACTCCTAAAATTAGGCAAAATAAATCCCATTTGCAACACCTGCACCTCCTCCCAGTGTTAAAGGAATGGAACAGATAGCAGGGTGATTCAGTTTTCATCTCTTTCATTACCTGAACCTTCTGGGATCACAGTGGGATTTTGACTGAATGAGGACTGTCTCAAACATCCTTAGTCCCTAATGGATCTTGTCATCACAGGCCAACAGCGATGTTCTGTGAGGGACAGCCTGGGAACAGAAACAGGGTGATGTTTTTCCTTTTCCAGGCCAGAACTGTGTACTCTGCCCTGCAAACTGGAAGTGGGAAGGTGGCGATACGTGTTACTATCACTCCAACGAAGAGAAGTCATGGGTACAGAGTTATACGTTTTGTTCCTCACAAAACTCTACTATTCTTCTGATAAAAGAGGCAGCGAAGATGGTATGGACTGCTTTTGCTCTCTGTTTGTCATGGAGGAAGTTCATGCACCCTATCAGCTACTCAATTCACATGTAATTTTCTTAAACGGCACTGTGAGCACGAGTTTTTCAACAGTGATCAGGTTGTCCTGGGCAGTGCTAAGGCATAGGACTGGTTATCACCACACAAAGTGCTGCCCTTAGAGCAGCTGGTGTTTGGAGACAACCCATCTTGCCAGGGCTTGCTGTGGCTGGCTACTTACTGGTATGACTGGTGAAAGCAGGTTCATGGCTGTTTTGTCACCGGCAGTGATTTCACTGATTTAACAAGTATTACAGATCCATACAAGGATTTGGTAAGATATTAGTGTGAAAGCCTCTTTTAACCTGGTCTCCCCACAGGCAAACCATAGTACTCCCCATTTTGTGGAAATTCTTTCCACAAAAGATGATCTCATCTTTTAAATCAAAATTAAAATACTTGGCAGTGAGTTGCTGAAATCTGTCTTAATCTTTTAGTAAATGAAAACAAACTGAGGTGGGAAGCAAAAATGTCAAGTGTAGAGTGAAATAGAGCTTTTGCCTCTGGATGCCAGCAGACATATTGGAAGACTGAAGGCAGAAAAGATGTCCCAAGAGCTAGCAGTCAGGGCTGCCTGTCTGCTCTCCAGCACTTGACAAATGCTAGTTCCCCTCTCACTGAGCTGCAGGCCATAAGGTTTGTCCCAGAAGGAAAGGGAAGCAGTTTTTTTCTCACTCTCCCAAATTGGTGACAGCAAAGATTGTGAGGTGCGTCTATTCTAGCTGTCTTAATCACATCATTGAGAGGTATGAGGAAAAAGAGAAAATGGAGAAGCGCACTGTGAGTGACAATAAGTGAAGGAAGGATGAAAACAACAGAAAAAAAATAATTCAAATCTTTAGAGAATTCCCTCAAGCAGCAGTGAGAAAGGCAGCATTACTTAAGTTTACATTCTTACCTGTTCTGCTCAGAGCATTTTTTAAGAACAGAATATCGCTAAATGCTTAACTTTAAGACCTCCTCTACTCGTCATGGTCCAGCTTTTGGGAATAGGTAAATGATAGTAGAGCCAAGTGTGAAGGTTCAACAAAACAAACTCAACAGCTCCCTGCAGAGGCTTCCTTTTTGCTGTTGACAAATGCTAAGGACAGAGTAAAGGGGGAGGAATGATTCATGACTAAAGGGGGCAGAACGATCCAGTGTTTCACCCAGAGGGTTTAAATCAGGTTGATGAGGGTGACATTGCTCTTCAGAACTACAAATGTATCTTCTCTCCGATTATAAACAGCTCTACTATCATTTCTCCTTTAATACTAGGCTTTTCCTCTAAGAGCAGAACTTGTCCTGACAGGTTAACAATTTGTGGTATTTATGTTCTTTAAGCAATTTCCATCAATGCTTTCAGCTTCTGAGCCTAAATATTTATTTTTCATATCTTCCTGAATATCTGTTTTGAATTGTGCTCACTCTGCATAGGAACTGGTAAAAAAATTTCCTAGAAAAACATACTGGCTTGGATTAAGATATAGAACTCAACTGAGAAGCTGGTATTGGACAGACAACACAGTTCTTAATGAAGAACACAAGTCTTGGTAAGTGGGCAGCTTTCCCACAGTACATGAAGTTGGTCCTCACGCATATGCAACTCCCAGTTTCTCTGACACAAAGGGAACATTGAAAACCCAATTTTTATGCAGCTTTTTCTGTATTCTGGGTCTCACTTTTCCGTTTCAGATTTTTCTTGGCCTCACCCAGGACTGCTTGGAGGGTAATCTAGGCACTATTACTGGGCAAAAAAAGTACCTTGAAAGTTTATTTCCACAATTTTGTTTCAGATTGACCATCAATGTCATATGTTTCTCTTGTATTTGACATCTTATTTCAGTGAGGACACACAGAAAAAACTACAGTGGAAAGGTGTTTAATTTCATGCTTTTGGTTTTATACTTTTTTATTTTTATATAAGACACTAATCATTCTCTAGAATCATTTCACTGCACTTTAACCTGCTATTTCAGAAATACAATATATTTTTCTTCTTGCTTTCAAACCTGTTTTGCCAATTTTCCTTTTCATTATGGGAGAGTCTCCTCTTAACATTTCTGTTGAAACAGCCACTGGCACCCTCCAGCTGGTACCCAGGAGTTATTGTTTCTTACTGTCAGGTACAAGAAATGGTTTAGGATCCACCCTTAGAGTCTGCTGGGTGTGCTTGTTGGCATGTTCAGGACAGGGTCAGCCTCCTAGGAGCTAGTGCATGATATCACTAAACGCTTTATTTCTTTGTTGGGCGTATATGTTCTTTGTGAAAGCCACATAAGTAATTCTTGCAAAGACGTCTCTTTTTGGAAGGGCAAGGATGCACCATTTGAATGAGGTGAGATGTAACAATAAAGATTTCTCTTTCCTAGGACAAAGTATCTAAACCCCCTCCAAAGCTGCGGATATGTTTATTATGGTACCATATATAGCAAACCATGTACGGAAGAGTTTTACTATATCTGTGAAAAGCCTGCCATCCGATTACAGCGAGGTAAAAACCATTGGCAGGAGGACTGGTTCGTCAGACCAAAATGATTATGAGAAGCTAGCAGACATTCTGCAAGGTTGGAATTTATTATTGTGTTTTTCAGAACTATCACATGAGAATTTAAATATGTTGAACAGACCTATTACCTTTCCCTGTTTTCATTCTCTTTTAGACATATGTAATAATATCTTCATACTAAGGAAACAGGCATAGTGACCGGCTCCAGGAGCGACCCACGTCTGTCATTCCAGATCCAAAATTGTCATATGATTACTCAGTTTTAACCAACACAAGTCATGGACAAAATGGCCAAAAGTGATGGCCAGGAAGAAAAGCACAGTGACAAGGCAAGCACATAAAGATATTGCTCCTCTCCCAGCATCCACTGATACAGTCCTAAATACCACTTGTCAGTTCATAACTGTACAGCTGTAACATAACACAAGTGATGAGGATTAAACATTTCCATTCAGGAGACGCTTCTGATGTCTTGTTGATCTGACTGCTTTAATACACTAGTAGGCTGGAGTATATGGCACAAACAGTGTTATCCTCAGAAGGTGGGCCAACGTGTTCCCAAACTGTATTTATAATTGTATTTACTCTGGAGCACAGGGATTCATAGTCCTCACAAGGACTTGTGCATGTGTAACAGGGTAAGATAACCTTCAGCTATGAATGTCTAGCTCTCTTCCATGCTCTATAATTCTTTGTCGTGGTTTAACGCCAGTTGGCAACTAAGCACCACACAGCTGCTCGCTCACCCTCCCCCCCACAGTGGGATGGGGGAGAGAATCAGAAAAAAAAAAGTAAAACCCATGGGTTGAGATAAAGACAGTTATAGGACAGCAGAGGAAGAAAATGATGATGATGATGATGATGATGATGATGATGATGATGATGATGATGATGATGATAAGAATAAAAATAAGAATAAGAATACACAAAACAAGTGATGCACAATGCAATTGATCACCACCCACTGCCTGATGCCCAGCCCATCCCGGAGCAGCGATCACTGCCCCCCGGCCAGCTCCCTGCAATTTCTATACTGAGCATGACGCCATATGGTATGGCATAGCCCTTTGGCCAGTCTGGGTCAGCTGTCCTGGCTGTGCCCCCTCCCAGCTTCTTGTGCACCTGGCAGAGCATGGGAAGCTGAAAAGTCCTTGACCAGTGTAAGCACTACTTAGCAACAACTAAAACATCAGTGTGTTATCAACATTATTCTCATATTAAATCCAAAACACAGCACTAGCCAGCTTCTAGGAAGAAAATTAACTCTATCCCAGCCAAAACCAGGACATTCTTCCTGGCACTGTTCTCTTTTTTCTTGATTTTTTTCTTTTTTTTTTCCTAATAATAATTCTGCTCTTCTTTTCTACTTTTCTACTTTTTTAATCTATTGCAAGAGTTACAGTAGGGTTCAGTCAGAGGCATGAACAGAACCTCCTTTTATGTATTTTTAGGATATTTCCTGGAATGCCATACTACTGACTTAATGTGCTGAGCAAGAGTCTACAAACCCAACCATAATGAAAATACCCCAAGCTAACACTGCTGAATGAACAAAATGTCTCCCTCCACATCTCTGTAGAACAATGACAGTCAGGCTGAAATACGAAATCTCAGTCCCATAACAGTGTTTTCATTTGAGCGAAAAGTCCACAAATTCCTAGCTTGGTACCTCTGGAGACTTGTGTATTCCTTGTGGATTGCATCCTAGATTATTTATAGTGGATCATTTACCACCGGTGTAGCAGCTGGGCTGCTAAAGCATTAGTCATTCCCTTCAAGGGGCTGTTCCAGTGTCTCACTGATCTCAGCACTACACAGCAGTTTCTGATCACCAACATGAACATTTTGGGTGTTATTTTCAAATACCAATTTCACACTCCAGAAACCTTAGTGGATTTTTCTTCCTCACTGCTGTTTACACTCATCACTCGCATCTCTAATGTAACCTCTCCTAGCTGCTCCTCTCAGTTTCTCTCCTAGCTGTTCCTATCTATCTTTGGGGGTGAAAATGGAGAGTGCTTCTGTCCTGCAGTGCAGACACAGCCCTGGTGACTTCTCAGAGTGTCTCTCAGTGTTCATACCAGCTACACTGAAATAAGAAATCTCATGTGGAAGGTATTCTGAACTGTATTCATGGCACATCCTTTCTTGATAATGAAGGGCTTCGCTGTAGTTTACCAGAAAAATTAAAGAAGAAAAAAAAACAACTCTGATCTTGTTTTTTCTTACATTAGAGTGACTGTGAGGAAATAGGAAAGATATTTCCAGGATGTTTTGTCATTAATGAGGCATGCCTAAGAGCAGAGGGGCGAATCCTAGGTGTTTCTGCAGTTTGTTGAAGACAAATGTGAGCTGAGATTGACAGCTCCCCATGCTGACATGCAGACACAAGGCTACACCATATCTTGCTGTGGCCTTGATCTTTTGGGTCAATTTACTGTCAGTCCAAAAGCAGTCTCTGGTGCAGCAACTGTATTTGTAACTGTAAAGGCAGGTGGGGTTAAAGTACGGTTTCACAGTGTGCCATGCTACTGAAACAGAAGGAGCTAGCTGCTTCTCCTCAAAAAACAATGACTGAAACATAAAAAAAAAATAAAAGAAAGAAAAAAATCACTGCAGAGAAGAAAGAGAGGAGGCAGGCAGTGTCCTACCATTCACTGCAGGCATTCAGAGTGCTGCAACAGCCTTGTCCAGCAAGGTTGAAACTGGCAAAGGACATACCCTGGTGGTGGCGTAAGCAGGTAGGGCTTCAGGATGCGCTGTCTGACTGTATCCCCTTTTCCATTGAAAGGAGCTCTTCCTTATAGGGGAAGAAACATAGAAATGTACTGTTTGTGTATTGGCGGAGATGGCATTTTTGAATCACAGTTCCATACAACAGTGTGTTTCCCATGTCTAAAATCCTCTCTTCCTCCCCATCATAAACTCTAGCTAATGCAATTTTCAAGGTCACACTCTAGTTAATAAACAGAGCTGTTTTGTCCAGCCTGCTGACAACATTTATACATGGGCTGTGTTCAAATGCAGACCCAAACTTCCTGCCTTAGCTTACCTTTCTTTTCATTTTGGTCTGAAAAAACAAGAAATTTTGCCTGCCCTGGATACTTCGAAGAACAGAGAGTGTGATGGTGAAGCTCCATCTAAACACTTCTGTTACTTCCGTTCTTGCAGCAGGATCTGTTTTAAAAGGTGACTAAAAAACCCAAAAGTTATATAATTAAGATAGATTGCTTATTAGATTGCTTGAATTACTAGATTGCTTGAATTATTAGATTGCTTGAATTCAGAGCTAGAAAAATAACACAAGAAAATTATTTTACCTCTTGTTTTCTCTCCAGAAGTAAAATCAGGTTGGAGAAAAGTTTCCCCAAAGGAGACTCATTACATGCTCGCGAAGTTATTGCTAAGACTGAAGAGGTTACTGTCATGAAAACCTGCAATCAAATTCAGTAGCACAGACACACTTGACTCCCAGTTCTCTACTGAAAAGCCCTTTTTACACTAAGGTGTCAACATACAGTTTTCAGGCCTGATAAACAAGGATTTTTGCACCATATTTAGCATGAGATTTTTATGAGGATATTACGGATACACTATGAATACACAGTGAATGCTACTCCTTGTGTGCCTGTCTGTGTAACAAAACTGACCGTAAACACCCTTTACTCCCAACTTTTTCCTCACGCCTTCTCTTTGCATATGGGTAAAATATAATGCAAGAAATACACGCACCCAGAGGTATTTCTGCTCTAGAAAAATCTATCAATCATCTGCACAGCAAGGCAGGAAGAATAGCACAGTCATGGCAGTGTATTTCCAGTCTGTTGGTATTATTTTGCAAATGGGAGACTGAACTTTACACACAAGAGCAGGAACAGCTACCACAGAAATTCCTCTCTTGCAATTTCCTTCTGACTCACCCTATCACCATGATGTGACTCATCATGTCTGGGCAAGTGCTCTGTTAAGGAGAGTTGGTGACTGAAGATGTTTAAGAACTACAGTTCAGCACTGGAGCAAGGCACTGCAAAGAGCTACAGATGGAGGGTAAGGATGGAGAAGCCACTTCTGCACAGTGACTTCTGCATACAGTGCAACAGCAGAGAGGTCCTCACTGTAGTCTGGTCTTTCTCTGACACAGGCTGAGCAGTAACGTGAATGCTGACAGGCTCCTGGCCTCGCCACCCTTTCAGCTCAGCTTTTGCCCTTCTAGCATTTATTTCAGTGATTTTTTTGGTAAATAATTTCATTTTTCATTTATTTCATAACAGTGTATGGAAATCCAGCCTATTGCTCTCAGTGCAGCTGATGTGTTGTATTTGTGCCCTGATACATGATATCTTTCATACCTTAACTCAAAATAGCAACTATTTCTAGAGCATCTTATTTTAAGGAGATAGAATATCCTGATGTTTGCTGTATTTACAGGGTCACATCAGGTGGATAGTTAAATGAAACAGTCTTAGCTTCCAGCCAGCAACCAAGACTCTCCATCTTCACATTCAGGAAGAAAACACCCATCCTTGACAGTACCGCTTTAACTCCTTAACATGCTTTCAACATCCTACACTTTTACTATGACACAGTAATCAGAACAGAGCCAGCTTCCTCCGTGGTTTCACTGGAAATGCTGAAACATGAACCATTCCCATCACTTTAGCATTGGTCTTGCTGCACTGTGCCCCTACTCCCAAAGTACTGCTATTGCAGGAAAGAAGTGTGACGAGCTGGAGATGGAGGATGAGGAAGGCTACACTGCTTTAAATTTACGACCCTCAGCTTCAGTTATTGCTCCTGGATATTCGAGCAGCAACAAATATTCCGCATTTAAGGCTCCAGCCAGTTGTGTTATAGTAGACAGTAAGTACAGATGGAAATTACCTTTTTTATCTAAATCAGGGCATAATTTAAATTTGCATGTTCATGTTGATTGCTTTAGAATCTTTCTAAACTTTGCAGTATATTCTTAGATAAATGTTCATAGAAACAGCAGAAAGAATAATCATAATGGAGTCTTGTGTGCTATTGT